CTCCACCCCTTCCCACTCCTTTCCTCTTGCCTTACGTTCACGTGATTTTTTTTTTTTTGTAAGTTCAACGAACGAACAAAGTTCTTAAATAGTAAAATTTCAGTTTGATAATCATTCTAATTGGATAAGTTACTTTTCTCATTTCATCGATTTAACTTTTAAGGGTTATTTAGTACTATCAGTAATTCTTATTCTTCAAAGAAATGAACAGATTCGATAGAAGCGTATGCGGACTTCGACAAGGAAAACCCTAGACGAAAACTGGTGTTAGGTCCATGTCACTTGCGTGCCCCTGACAGCCAGCAATTAACAGTCCCGGACTTTCGCCTCTCTGATACGGCAACGTAACTATGGTTGAGTACGAGAATAGAGTGCCAGGCTAGGCACCCTGTTAAATAATTGTTCCCCCAATGCGTTGGTTAAGACAACGATTTGCCCAGAGCTTTCGTTCAACGACACCCCCTCTCTCTCTCTCTCTCTCTCTTTCTCTTTCTCTCTCTTTTCGTTTCTCACCCCCTGCAAAGGTCTAGCACGGTAGTCAATAACAGTCTTCCTTTTGGTCTGACTATGTTCCGATTATTTGAGATTTATTTCCACCCTCGTTTCTCGTCTTCGTAAATTTACTTTCGACAATTACCACCTTAAACAGAAACGTGTCTTTTTAAAACAAGAAAAAAAAGAACCAAAGAAAAAGATAATAAAATTCTATCGTAAAAAGATGTATTACTCTTTTTATTCTTAACTTCTATCGAGAATGATCGAGTGAGAAAAATGAACCGATGTTTTATCCTTTTTCTCGTTCACATGGTCATTTCAATCTCGTTAACCTCCTTGTTGGTATATCGTTTGCATATAGAAGAGAATAAGAACGAAAGAAATGGGGATTGGCTAGGGGGTGGACTTTCAAAACTCTTACGCGCTATTTAACTTATCCATTTGAAAATCAAACACGTGAAACGATTAATTAGTAATTAACGCTGGCCGCTTGTAGTTGAAGGATGAAGAGGAAGAAGAAAGAACGAGAGAGAGAGAAAGAGAGAGAGAGAGAGAGCAAAAAGGGTGAAAAAAGAGATGAAAAGAGAAAGAGTGACGGAAAATGAAAAAGAAATAGAACGAATAAGAGAGAAATGGTGATCGTGTTCAAGTAGTGGTTTCACCATCTCAAAAAGGGGTAAGGGGGCTACTCCTTCGAAAGGCTTTAGTAGTAGGCGGATTGTACAAGAGCAAGAAAGTTTAAAGTTCGTACTTTAGTTCCGCTGTTAGCTTCTAATTAGTGGACAAATAGCAGCTAGTCCTGAGATACAGATGTACCATTGGTCTGTGGCCTGTGCCGAAGAAGAAGAAGAAGAAACTGAAGTTTAGGTTTGTCCGAGATAGTTCATCATCATTCTCATTTCACCACTTTTCCATTGGTGGTACGTTTTTGCAGTAGAAAAGATACTTAACTATTTCCGTTTCATTAGCACGACCGTAATCCGACATTTTCTATAAATTAAAATCGGTACACATAATCTATTAGCAGTAACTTTTTGCTCGAGTAAAATTTTCAAATGAATTAATCCGTAAAATACAGCTTAAGCAAAGTTTTCATTTTCTGTATAATATAGTAGTTTGCGGGTAATTTATTTAGTGTTTCTCTATTCCCCTTCTCTCTCTCTCTCTCATTGCTTCCTAGATTACCTGTCGTTCCGTCGTCATATTGGCCATACTTGGTCGATATTGTGGAAAACGTTGGTGGTCTATGGACTATATTCCATGCGGACAACCTTTACTCACGAAATGACAAACGCACTCAAGTTGGAGGTTTTCCATAGAAAGAGAAAGAGAGAGAGAGAGAGAGAGAAAGAGAACGACATAGATCGGCTTCGAAGGTGAAGGTGCGAAAGGTAGAAGTGCGGTGAGGATGGGGCAAGGGGCATCGAGTTAAATCACCGTTGGTGTGAGGCTTTCAATATGCTTCGATGGTAGTTACAGTACCCTCTGGACCACTGCTACAGATCAGTTCAGTAAGGAGTCAAGATGAGAGCGAGAGAGAGATGAACTATCGTGTTGCGGTATCGGTCGCCTTGGTTATTTAGGAAACCATATCAAAGTTTGAGTTGGCTGCCTACCGGTGCTACTACGTACCTTTCCTATACTCCCTTGCTCTTGGACAATGAGGTCTCTCTTCCGGTCTCCTTGAGGTCGCCCTTGACATTCGTTATCGGACCAAATAACGGCAAACAACCCCACGAAATTGTGAATTGTTCTTTGAAGTATTCCGAGTAAAGGGTTATGTTTGCTCTTTAAAGTGCATTTCAATTACAATCAGATTCAAACGACTACGATAATAATTCTTGGATATTTTGTATGCCTTTTTTTATATGTGTTATATATATGTGCAATGTCACATTAGAAATTTGTAAAAGTTACTTTAACGAAGAGTAATCTCTTGTGACAGTGAGTAGCAGGCCAAAGAGAGGAGAACATTTTCCTACTTTCCACAAGACCCGTGTGCCTTCTTCTAGAAGGGTCGAGATTTAATTAAGGCGAGGCGACGGGTAGAAAGACGAGTCGCTATGTCATGTAAACTCGAACCATCCCCCTACCCTTCTTCTACTCTTTCCATCGTAGAGACACGAGTAGTAGTAGCTCAAAGATCTTCCACCTTCTTCTTCTTCTTCTTCTTCTTCTTCTTCTTCTTCTTCTTCATCTTTGCCATTCGAGGAGTCCTATCGCAAAACTCACGAAATCGTAATCTATGCTTTGCTAGTTTAAATTTAAGATATATTTTTCATTCAAAGAAATAAAAAAAGAAGATATTTAGTTTAATATAATATGTTCTTTCAATATTTTTTCTTTCCTCGAATAATTTATAAAACATTTGGTTAGAAATCAGAAGAGATTCATACGTTGGAAAGTTTTGATCGTTGATCCCGTGTTTATCAAGTTTTGCTTTGAAACTAGATGGAATCGAAATAGCTTGAAGTAGCAGCAACAGCAACAGCAGTAGCAGCATCTGCAACCTTAGTCGCGGTTTTAGCGTCAATAATTCGCAAAGTCTGCGGAGGCAGCTTCTAACCGACTGATTTCACGCATCTGGCGTTTGGTGGTTAGTTTGGCTTAGTCCGTAGTCGTTTCCCTAGAGCGAGAAGGATAGTAAAAAGCAAGGAAAGGCTACTGATAGAGAGAGGAGTGAGGAGGAATGAAGCAAGAGGTAGGAAGAGTAGTAGCAAAGAGGGTGTGAGTGTGGACAGTCCCTGCTTCGACGGTGTGGTATTCCGTGATCAATATTCCTTACCCCCTTTGCCTTGGTTTAGCCCTCCTCCAGTTTGGTACGGGTACCCTTACCTCGTGAAAACCTTCCTTCCCCAGGCCAGCCCAGCGCTCCCGCTTCGTCCCCCCCCCCCGTCGATGAGAACTCGGCAGAAACCCCTAAAACCCCTCTCGCACCCTTGTCTTAATTAGGAGTCTGAATCTGCGGCGGACACGCGTATAAGGGTAGGGAGCAGGAGGCCACGGCATTCGCCTCGGTAGCACTGGGCTAAGGGTATAAGGCCAGCCTGAACCCAGACGAGCCTCGTGTCCGAAACATTATTTCCAACTTTCCTACGATCACCACGACGTCATGCTCATCCGACGACCCTTTTTATTATTCCTCCAAAATAAACACATTTGCTGGCTCTCTACCTTACCCGTTTTCATCTGACAAGAAGAATGAAACCCCTAGTCCCTCTTTAAAAAGTAATTCTTCGAAATTGAAAGAAAAAGAAAAAGAACAAGAAAAAGAAAAAGAAGAAGTCCGTTTTTATAGTTAAAGGACAATACTCGTAGTTTGTTCTGTTCTATACGCGTTCACGAGATTAGTTTTTCGTTTAATGTATATACCTTTGGTAAATCGAGATTCTACGTTAATTAGCTATCGTGGTGAGAGAAAATGGATCCGATCTCCAAGTTTTTAAATCGTCCATTTCCTTATCTCGCTCTATAGCTTCTTCTTTCATTCGACACACACACTCACACATATACGCGGATGGACGAACGCATACGTGCACAGACAGTTACATAAAGGAGCGCGTACCCGGCGGGCACCCTATCGAACTCGGTCCACTATACCTTAACGAACTACATTGAAAACTTCAACTTCACGCCAATTTACTTCCGCTAATTTCTTCCTTGCTCTCTGTGCAAAAGTCTCCTTTTCCCCCGCCATTTGGAGTTTCTCGTTTTCGTTGCAGTGGTAACCTTTCACGATTGAAGTTCGCCAGGGTTAGTAACGATCGATCTTTACGAATCTTTCTACGATCAATACTCTTTTAGGGTAGTTTTCTTCCTTTTGCAGAAGTACCAACGATGTAGACAAATTAGACAACGACGACAACGGCGATCGTAGTATCTTTGAGAAAAGGAAATTGAAGAAACGTAGAAAGGAATTAGAAAGAACGTTCGTTTTAAGGGGGTGTCCTTGCAAGAGTGTCCAAATAATTAATTATCCTAAAAACAAGTTTCGTGTTTCAAAAAAATATTCATATTTATTGTCCAATAATTTGACGCACATAAACTCATACATCGACGAACACATTCGTGTTCGTTCACTTCGTATTGGTGAACATATTTACATATAGGATATATACAGTAAGGAGTAGATAGGGGTAGCCGGCGGTGAGGTTGAACCAAAAGGATATTGGGGTTAGGCCATTCATTAGATTAGGAGAATTCGGTGGTACCCTATGGGGACGGAGACGGAAGGGAAAGAGGTTGTGGGTGGTGATGCTGTTGGCTTGGGTGCACGATCAAGCACCACCCAACGTGCATTAGCCTTCGTCAGAAAGCACCTAAGAGAGAGAAAAGGGTTAAAGGTCATTCTATAGTAGAGATAGGAAGATTATTCCTTTTTACAGACCTACCACGTTCGCGAGATAGAAACGTGCCTTACATTAGCAATCCTTCGTTAAGGTAATCGTTAAAGTACCATTGATTCAACTATTTAATGTTATTTTTCTCTTTTTCTTTTGTTACAGAGTCGTCCCTTGCAAGGCGGGACTATCCCCGCCAAATCATGAACAAGGTACGTATGTATTATAGTAAGTTTTAACAAATTTTTTTATTTTTCATTGTTATTTTTTGTTTTCCATTCACCATTATACCAGTCTAGAAGAAGAAGAAGAATTATTTTCGTTGTTGCTAGTGTACCAGTAATGTTGCAAAAGTGCAACAACGGTGAGATTACGTAACGTTGTTCTTGCGAATGTGTTGTTTATTCGTACGTATATATATATACGTGCAAAGTGTATATACCATATAGCTCGAACCTCATTTGTAAGCCCTTTATGCGCCGTCTGCCTTTTCTCATTATGCATTGCACATGAGAAAACTTGCTTGGAGTCTCTCCTCTCTCTCTCTCTCTCTCTCTCTCTCTCTCTCTCTCTCTCCCTCCCACACCTCCCTCTCCCTTTCTTTATTCTCCACTTCTCTCACCGCTGGACTACCTTCGTTGCTCTCATTCTAGGGGGGTAGCAACCCCGTTTTCCCTACTACCTGCCACCTCATACCTCTCCGCACGTCGTTCCCGCGCCACGTTGTACCTTGACTTCTTTATAAACTTTTAATGACTGCAAAGCCTAATCGACGGAACGAACGAGCATGCTTGGCTTCGCAAAACTACCTTACAAAATCTACGTTATATCTCGATTTTTAATACTCGAGCAGTCAAGCGTCGTCGCTTCGACAAGACGTCCGGAGATGTTTCCTGGTAATCAAAACGTTGCTCTTTCGACATCTTCTTTTCCTTCATTTCGTTATAAACTTTTACAACGATGCAACTTTTATATACTATATATACATAGTATATACATATATCTATTTATAGATTTTATATAATGATCTGTCAATATTACGGAAATTATTTTTCGTTTCCACTTTTATTTTAATTATCATAATTAATTCTTTTTAATAATTATTTATACAAATAATTTAAAGTTTCAACTAATTAAATTTTAATATAACATGTTCATTTTTGTTACTAATGAAACGAATGAAAAATACAAATTTCAAGTACCTTATCTTAAGAATGAGGATGATGAATTAAAAAGAAAATTAAAGAGAAAGAAAATTGTATCAACGATACGTAATAAAATAAAAAGATATCAAGATGGAAAGACAAGAGCACGGTGGTACAGTTACCCTTTAGTCACCGTTTAAAAGTATTCCAACGTTGTTAAAGTGTTCCAGGTGCCGTTTACCAACGGGTACTCTTTCATAAAAAACCTTAATAAAAATCCCAATCTAAACAAGCTTAATTTACGTCCGTCACATAATTATCTACCCTGGAGGCACGACCTCCGCAGCTTTCACTCGAGCTCTTTCCCTTTTTACTCCTTCCTTCCTTTTTTTTCTTTTTTACCTTACTCTTTTCTCATTTTGGCGTTGGCAAGCCACTTCTGCCACGCGGTAACAGGAAAGAGTACTCGGTAAATGGGTAGTATTAAAGTAGTTGTAGTAGTAGTAGTAGTAGTAGTAGTAGTAGTGGTAGTAGTAGTAGCTGAGGTGGAGAACGAAGGAAGTGCGTGGAGAGCCCTCTGAAAAATCTAAGAGGCTTAAAGCATTAAAAGGGTTATATAACATTCATTACCAACGGGTCAGCCTTTGTGAAATTTCCCTTGAAAGCAGCACCTCTCGGTGGACACCATCTTCTTGCCATTCCTCCCCACTCCTCATCTGAGCAAAAGGTTTCACGTTCTTTGTCTTTTCTGCATTTCCTCGTCTCTACTTTTCCCTATTTCGGGGAACATCCATCCAATCTTACGTTACTGAAGAAGAGGGGTGCTGGTAAGAGGTCACATGACCAAAGCTATCGTCCACTAAGGGTTAACGGTGTAAAGACTGTTAGAGAAGGGAGAGAAACAAAGAGAGAGAAAGGGAAAGGGTCTGTTTCTGATGAAGATGTCGCGCACGCCAGGGACCTAGGCGAGATTACTCGGGTTAGAACCCATGGACATTGGTCAGGGTACATGCTAATTGCTTTATTTGACATCGAGAAATAATGTACTGCTATATCGTCGTAGAGAAATCTCACGAGAAAAAGAGGTGGATGTTTTTTGTTGGTCATCTTGTTCCTGTTCGTATATTCTCGTTACGTCAGAAAATCCAGATGTTGGTTTGGTTTGTATCTCGTAAAAGGTATAAAACATAATATAACAAAGTTGATTTCAAACCCTACTTTTTGATTTTTTCTTCTTTATATTCTTTAAGGATCGTCATGGAGTTTATTCGGGTTGATAAATATGATACCAAAAAAAAAGGAAAAGAAAGTATAGTCCACGAGCTTTGAAAATGTATTGTACTTAAGTTTCCTATCCTCTAAACGATTTCGATAGATCTTATAGGTCCTAGTACGTGATACGACTGGTTATGTTTGAAAGATCGTGTTAGGCGCGTACCTAATAACCCTTAGTTGAATCAATAAACATTTCTTTGCGTTACATATGGCCAAATTTATATTCGAAATTGCGCATATCCATGGGATGGACGACGAGGGGCGAGTCAACGGGAATCAGGCACGCGTCTTTCTCGTAAATATGTTTTTGCCTATCGGAGTGTTCTCGAAATGCAAAGAAAAGAAGACTAGTGGAAGAGAAAGAGAGAGAGGAAATAGACGGCTGTGTGTTGGGGTCGATCCCGGGGTCGCCTGGGGTGCATTTCATCTTCGAGGGCGTCAGCTCGGAGACCGATCGACTATACGCTACGACGTATGATCATCCATCTTTTATCGAATCGTACGTGTGATGGCCACTCGGCTATTTCTTTTAACAACTTTTACTTAGACTCGAACTCTCAACGTTGATAACGTTGTTCATATGATGATAATAATAATAATTATTATTATACCACGTGTGAACTTAAGAATCCAACGATTAATATATAGTTGTCTTGTTGCTAAATTTGCTTTTTCCAACATCGAAAATATTACTTTCATGATGTTTAGTGATTTAAAGGGTAAGTTTAAATATTTTCGTGAAAGCGCATTAAAGGATTCATCTAACGTTGCATCACGTAGCTATTATTATAAAGCAAACTAGTTAAAACGATAATGAACTATTCCCTGGATATTCATAGCTTAAAGCAGATAGCTATACTGGGAATAGGATCATCCATCTCTTGTCAAATGGAAACTCGGTAGCCGATACCAGGAGTAGTAGTTGTTTCTCTCCAGGCTGCTCAACTTTTGCCTCCGAAAACGTCCATCATGCTCGGACAGAACACGTTTTCCTAACCAAACATTCGTCAATATTCACTTATGCGTAACTAATGCCCGTCCAACCTATCGTGAATAGGTTTATAGTATACTTAAGATTTATTACATATATATATATAAACATATTTTAAGTATCATAAAATGATCATTAATAATTGTAATTATTTTCATGCATCGTTATGAATTTGTTCAATCGCTATAAAATGACCAATCAAAAATTTTATTTAAAATACAGAACAATTAACCTGCAATTTTTTAGTATTCTTAAAAATCTTGTTAACCTTTTAAAGTATGATAGGGTGTATCGACCTAAATACACAAACAAATGTGGTTAAAACGATAACCTCGGATAGCTGATAAATGTGCCTAAAATAGAGAAAGAAAAGCTCGGTAGTAGAAAGTGAGCCCTGACGAAGAGGGGAAACCATTGCGGAAAGGTATTTTTGTGGTTAGCGGAGAATAATTTAGGAGCAGATAATACGAGAACCCGTGTAATTTCACCGCAAAGCCCCGGGCCGCAGTCAACAGCCGGAGTGCGTGTTCGTTTTCATATAGTCAATGAGTGTTCGGTACATGAAGGTATAGAAAAGAGAGAGAGAGAGAGAGAGAGAGAGAGAGAGAAGGATCCTTGAGCAAAGAGCTCAGGTGTTTCGTTCGATAATAGGCGATATCATCCCTCCTATTGATATCTGACCCCCACTCACCCTCTGGTTTTACTCCTCATCAAACTCTGATCGATGTAATATTCACGCTCGATACGCGTCTCTCACTCACTCTTTCCTATTTTCTTCTTCTTTCACTTCCTCCTTCTTCGATGTAACTTGCGAGGCTCGATATTCGCTTTACTTTCCGTTGGAATTTCATCAAGCATCCCCCTTTTCGCATCCTCTACCTAATGTCTAACCAAAAGCTCGTGTACCGATACGTTCTACATTCCAACTTATGAACTCTTCTTTTAATTTATTATTATCTATATTTCTACTTAGTATAATATATAAATTAATGAGTAACCAATGACAATTTTGTTGTAGAAAATACTTTCCCCAATCAAAGATTACTTTCGGTGTAATCTCGGTCTGTTGGTTTCCACTTACACGGAACCACTGAGTGACTCCTGATAGAACGTTACTTTCTCTTATGGATTCGTGTAACCATCGTTTGCGGTAAACACTCTCTTTTGTTGGCCGTCGGGAGTTAAGCCAAGGTCTCCCTCCCATTAGCACCGCTCGGAATTACAAAAATAACACTTGTCCCTGTAGCAAACCAACCTGCCCACCCCCTTTCACAATGTCCGGGAGAACGGAGCCGGTGTAGTTAAGTAAAATTAAGCTAAAATTTCCAACGATCCGCGATGTATATTCAACCCCTTTTCCTCTGGCTGACTCATGTGCGTGGTGGCCGGCCAACGGCACTGGAGAAACCCCCATCCTTCCTTTTTCCTCCCCCGAACTCCTTCCTGAACCTCTCCTCCTCCTCCTCCTCCTCTCTTTCTACACATATACGTTACACTTCACGCTGCCCCTTTCTCTGCCACGTCGGCATTAAATATTTACCTTTCAATGAATATGCAAATATAATTATTTACGCGCAATTTAGACGTTTTTACGCGTCCCGCGTGACTCTCTCTTTCTCTTCCTTCACCTGTCTCTCTTTCTCTCATTTTCACCCTTAACGCGTAGCTTTGAAGTATGAAGAATCTCAAGTGCGAAAGGGGTCGTGTGAAAATATCATATTTGGACTTTCATTTTTTACAGTTAACCGGAGCTCGTTTCTTTACTGTTTTTTTTTTTTTTCAAAATGAAAATCCATTATCC